GACCACCAGCTAAATATGAATCGACAGTGTGACGCTGTTGGGGGAGGTGAGGGAAGCAAACATGAGTCTGGGATGTATTAACTGGAGTGTTGTGAGCAAGACACGAGAAGTAATTATTCCGCTCTACTCTGAGCAGATTATGCCTGAACTGGATTGGTGTGTCAAGTTCTGGGCATCATCATGTTTCAGGAAAGATGTGGAGAAATTGGAGAGGGTCCAGAGAAGAGCAACAAAAATGATGAAAGGTCTAGAAAACATGGCTTGTGAGGGAAGACTGAAAGAACTGGGCTTGTATCGTTTAGAAAAGAGAAGACTGAGAGGGGACATGATAGCAGCTTTCAAAACGTGTTACGAGGAGGAGGGAGAAAAATTATTCTCCTTGTCATCTGGTGATAGGACAAGAAGCAATGGGCTTAAATTGCAGCAAGGGAGGTTTAGGTTGGACACAGGGCCGGATTATGGTGCCCCCCCGCATATGTAATTCAAAATAAAAACAATACTATACTGTAAAATGCCCCTGCTTTGCTGATGCCCTAAACACCTGCTTAGTCTGCCTGTTGGGTAATCCAGCCCTGGTTGGACATCAGGGTGGTTAATCACTGGAATAAATTGCCTAGGGGGGTTGTGGAATCTCTGTCACTGGAGATATTTAAGAGCAGACACCTAGTAGTCAGGGATGATCTGGATCAGTGGTCTTCAAACTTTTTTTGTCTCATGACTCAGTTAAAGAAAATCATTGATGCCTGCAACTCAATATAATTTGACTAGAGCCTGAGCTCTGGGGTGGGGCTGAGGAGAGCTTTGGGGTGCAAGAGGGGGCTCCAGTTTGGGGGTGTCAGGAGTGTGGAAGGAAGGGCTTACCTTCAGTGGCTCCCCATCAGCGGTGCAGCGGAGGGCCTAAGGCAGCTTCCTGCCTGTCCTGGCACTGCAGACCATGCTGTGCCCCAGAAGCAGCCAGCAGCAAATTCCCAGCCAGTGGGAATGTGGAGCTAGTGCTCAGGAGAGGGGCAGTGGGCGGAGCCCTGTGAGCTCCCTCCCACCTAGGAACCAGGCTTGCTGCTGGCACTTCTCAGGCACAGCGCGGTCTTAGCACCCCCTACTGGTCACCTGATCATCCTGCAGCAATGAGAGAGAGTGCCTGGCATTCCATGACCCCGCGCTGGGTGTGGACCCGCAGTTTGAAATCTTCTGCTCTAAACGGTGCTTGATCCTGCTGTGAGTGCCGAGGACTTAGACCTGATGACTGCTCAAGGTCCCTTCTAGTTTTATGATTCTATGATAGTAAGTGCAGCAACTAGGGTGCACCTTCTCGAAAGATAAGGATTTTTTTAGAGCTTTCTCCTAGTTTTGCTGAATATTTTGCAGATAACTAAAGGTGAGTCAGTGCAGACCCACACAAAGCCCTGGAGGCTAAGCCGCATACATTTTAAGAAGTTACAGTTGTGATTGTATTAAAAAAACCTCCTTTTCCTGTGTCTTATCCCAGCAGTTGAGACCAACCAACAAATGCTTGATGGTTTTGCTCCATCTAAAACTAACGGAGGTTTTGCCATTGACTTCAGTGGGAATAGGATTTCCTGGTAAATGTCCGTTTGCGGTTGGGAGACAGTGTGTTGTCGGTGGAACAAATTTCCCTGTTAGTCCCTAATTTGTGACTCTTTCTGTGCAGCAGGAGGCCGGTCTACTTGATTAGTACCTAGGTTGGCACTCCCCTCCCCCCCCCTCTGAATTTGAGTTTTCCTGTGGGAGTTGTTCTTGAGTTCCCTATAGTTGACATGATCTAGCTGTGCGTGTGTGTGTGTAGTGACTATGTGCATTACGCTGTAGGTTGCAGCTGATGCATCTCAAGCAATACGATCAAAATGAGAGCTACATATTCTGGAAATCAAAGGACAGATGCCAAGGAAGGGCACAAGATTGAGGACTATAATAAAGATTGCGGATGGGGCTGGCTGAGTTTTGTTTAATCGGTTTTCTTAAAGCTGTGCGGAGACGAGAGAGCTCCTGAGATTGGTAATGGGGTGTGGAGCCCTTCTTGCTTATGTTAGCAGAGAGAGGATGTTAGCCTCTGACTGGAGGCTTTTGAGCTCACATGAAATGAGTCCATGAGCTCCACATCCAGAAAACTCACCTCGCTTGGTGCTCCGTGACAACCTTGTCAGCATGGGCGGTCGGTGAAGCAAGCCCCCAGCCCCGCCTCCAGCCCTGCTCCTTCTGCTGAGGCCCCGCCCCTAATGGGAGTCAAGTTGCCTCCCTGCCCCCCCTCACCATGGGGAGGCAGGGTAGTGTGCTGCTCATGACCGCGCCCCCCCCCCAACCACAGGGAGGGAAGGGGAGCAGGTGGGTGCACCTCTGTCTCCCAGCCTCCCTGGCCTCAGAGCACTGGGGAGGTGGAGCAGTGTGTGGCCCCAGCCTTCTCAGCACCAGGGAGGGTGGACAGTCTGCAGCTTCAGCCTCCCTGGCCTGGAGTACCAGAGAGAGACGATGGTATGTGGCCCCAGCCTCTCCTGCCCCAGATCACAGGGATGGCAGGCACTCAGGGGCAACAACTCTCTGCCCCATAGTAGGTGTTCTGGGGGCAGAATGCGGATGGGGCCAGGGTGGCGGTTTGGGAAATGAGTGCCTTCTCCCACCTAGGATACCGGCCGCCCATGCTTGTTAGCAGTCTCAGGAGAGAGATCGAGGACTGAACAGGTATGGAGTCCTAATTCACCTTGCCCTTCTAGGTTGAAGGTGGGGCAGTATGGAGCAGCTTGCTTTACAGCTTCAGATGCTCTCTCCATGCTCTGGATAAGCAGGATTTCAGTCCTCCAGGCTGTGAATCGGGACCCTTTCATCAGCACTAAATGAATTTTAGAAAGTTCTCCCAATAGGAAAAAACTAGTTTCTGCAGAGTCTTTGTTGAGCGTCCACATGCTCTGGGTTGGATTCTGAGCTCACTTGCGTCCATGTAAACCCCGTGTACCTGTTGAAGTCCATATTGTTATTCCAGATTTAAAGTGAGGTAGCCAACACCAGCGTTTTACATTCTGTGTCTGAAAAGAAAGTGTTTAGTCTGAAAAGCACATTGCTGAACTAGACAAGCCAGGGGAACTTGGAAGGAAAAACCAACCCAGTTATCCAGCTTGGCTCGGATAGCAGGAGCTGAAGGCAAACTATTGCAGAGGAGTAGACACAAATGAAAATGGAAATGCTCAAGGTCTAAGGTTATGATTGTGAAAAGGGGCAAATGGCAGAATATTCTCGAGCTTTCTTTTCACTTGACCTCATTAGTTGACAGTTTGATCCACTAGAACAGGGCTCGTTATGGATGGCATTTCTTGCCCATTAATCAGAGCTCTTGATAATGCTTTTTTTTTAAAAAAAAAAAATTTACAATCAGTCTGGCTGAAATGCTTTTCCCATTCCTCCCCTCCCTCCCAACATAGCTTACTGAGGACCGATGCACTAAAGTAGGTTGAAAGACTTCCATCGACTTGAGTAAGCTTTGGCTCAGGCTCAAATATATTGTCTGCTTTAGAAATTACTTACTACACATGGGGGTACGTCTACATAGCAGCGTTATTTCAGAATAATGGCTGTTATTCCGAAAGAACAATTCGAACATCTAGACAGCAATTCCGTTATTTTGAAATAATTTTGAAATAATGGACGGCTTATTTTGAAATCTGTAAACCTCTTTCCATGAGGAATAGTGCCTATTTTGGAATAGCTGTAGCGTGACGCTCCCCTGCTGCTATTTCAAAATAGCTCCTCCCCAGGGCCATTCAAAATAATTACTCCCCAGTGCCTCCTGGGGCTTTAAATTGAAGTGGCATGTCTGCATTAGGGAAGCCTGCATCGGACTAGGCTTCCAGGTAGTGTAGACGTGCTATTTCGAAATAAGCTAGTTTGTAAAAAAAAATTCCGAAATAGTTTATTTCGAAATAAGCATGCTGTGTAGACATACCCTTAATGAATAGTAAGGAAAACTTGGACCTGGATATTTGTTTCCCTTCTGAAGTGAATTTTTTCCTTTTTGAGATATCTTTCCAGTGCTAGAGATTTATTGTCCCAAACCTCAACCTTAAATATTCATTTCCAATGGTATGTGTGATGGTAAAATGCCCAGTTTGCCCTTTGTTGGTTAGTTGCATTTGCCAGTCATTCAGGGAAGAGAAGCAAAACCTTATGCCTTGTGCAGCTAGCCAATGCAACACAGATTGTGAATATTTGCTATTAATGGTTCTTGAGCAATTAGCAGGTTAGGGTCTAAGTGCTGAAGAAATTCACACAAACTTTCCAGGAATAAGCAAAGTTAGATCTCTAAAGAACAAGCAAGGACTAGATCAGCTGAGGAGATAGGGGAAGTACTTCCCCTGTCTCAAGGGATGCTGGGTGCCAATTTTGCTGCTGTTGATCCTGAGAGTAGCCTCATGGCTGCTCTAAATTACACTGGCTTGTAATAGAAGGAGTTGCCACAATACGCTCTGACTATGCCCGTCATAGTATGGAAGAATCTCTAGTTGCCCATTTAAAGCAGTTTTCACGGCTGCTTTGTGCTGCCAAAGCTGGGCCCTCAGAATGTGGCTCAAATTGAAGATTTTGTGATGTGTTTTGTGAATTGTTTGTGAAAAGAAAAAAATTGCACTTTACATTTAGCAAATTTATTCCTTGCCAGTGATTTGTTTGGCTCTTCTGCGCCTATTTAGTTACTTGAGCATAGACCCCCTCAGACACAGAAGAAATGCAGCGCTATCAAAGTTATAAAAATTATCTTTTTATTACCTACACTATTCTACAATGTGGACTTTTTACTTGAATCAAGCAAGAAGCAAAATAGAACTGTAGTGTTTGGCAAGCAAAGGCTAAAAATCCACATAATTTCTTCTCCATATGCTACAAAAATGTGAAATAAAATAAATGCACTAGACAATACTTCAGAGATGAATACGCAGTTCTAAAAAGAGCATGAAATAAATAAAATATTTACATTTCAAGTACAAAATCGTGCAGCTGAATTCAGTACGAAAAATCAGTTTATTCTTTTCTATTGTTTCCAACTACTTTTCATGTACTCCTAGCTGGCAAAGTCTTTGGATCCAGAACATAGAAAAATATTTTATGTGCATTGTTTAAATCTCTGAATTTTTTCCCTTTGGGCGTAAGTTTGAATCAAGCAAGAATATAATTTTTATGGTGATTGTATTTAACTAAGGATGCGAACATGGTAATATGGTTGCTTCATATCTCTGCTTTGTGGTGACATAAAAAAGAAAAGTAGAAATTGAACAAACCTCAATTACTAGAGTTGAGTGAGGATAGAAATGATGTCTCAAGAATTTAGTAACAATTCCCAACTGCAGCTGGGCAGATGTACTTAGATTAGCTTATTTGCAGGTAGCTGTTCTTTTTAGAATATATTTAATGAAATCTGGATAGCATACTGGTGCTTTGGCACGCTTCTAATCCATTGGCACAGGCTAAACTCTTGGTAAACTTCTGCATTGTGTAACCCTTCTCATACTGGCATGGCCAGTGCAAGTTTCTCTTTGTCTCCTTCTGATCCTGGGTCTTTCCCCCTGCTTAGCTGAATTCTGCTGAGGCTGGAATAAGCTTTGCTGTGCCACCTCTTTTTCAGCGCAGTTAAAAGTTAATGCTATGCCTACATCGCTCTTCATAGCTCTGGAAGTACCATCAGACGTGCCATCGAAACATCTACCCAGAGCTATTTCCTTGGCTATGCTAGGGTTCTGGTCAGTGACTGTGTAAATTCCATAATTATGTCCAAGAGGATCAAGAGGTGCTAACATCGTGTACTCACCTGACTTGTTATTTACGGCAAAAGGTAGATGGTTCACTAGATATTCCTGGAGCATGCTGTTAACACTTTCTCTATAGCAGTTTCCTTGGGGAATGATTCTTACCAGTGTACGGTCCACTCGGTCCTGGTCATACAGCATGCCACTGCACTTAAATTCCAGGCACACGGTTGAAAGATTCGGTTGCTCCATGTCTCGAATGGTGCGCACATCTCGGATGCCGTAAAGCTTGCCAGCTGTGTATGGATGTGTGCCGCCCATGTTGCGAGATCTTACGTTCACCTCTTGGGGGCCGTTAATTTTGACTTTAATGTAACAGGCCCTGTACTCCATTGGATTAGGCCACCAAGCCTGGTAGTCTTCAGTCCAACTCATTGGGTCATTTTCATTGAAGGGAACTGTGTTGTAATCATACCTGTCTCCTTCTACTCTGTAAAATCTGAAATGAGCGGCACTGTAGTGTGCTTGCTCGCATTCTCTTAGGTTTTCAGCAGCGTAGATGGGGCCATTGCTCTCTTCTACAGTGCTTGGACTTGGTTTGGCCACTGTGATACTGAAGGCCGTTTTCTTGATTCTAGGATCTATATGATCTGTTCTCCTGTAGTTGAGCTTGTTGAGATATGGCTGTGGGACTCCAATGGCGTGAGGGTTGAGTCTGGGAGAAGAGGACACCACTTCAAGTTCTTCTCCCCGAAGACTCGCCATGATATAAGCTGAGTAGGCATCTGGACGTTGCTCATCGCAGAAAGCTGGCAAGCAAGCCCCGTTGGGCCCAGTGACTGCACTGTCAAAGCGACCCCAGGCTCTCGGGTTGGATGAAAAACCTGCTGCGGGCTCCATGTTGATAATGGAAATCACAACCCCCTCAACTTGTTCGCTTGGCAGAAATCTCTCACTTCGGTAAGCTCGGACCTTGACGTAACATCTTCTGCTCTCCGGGACATCAAGGTTGAAGAGCCTCCTCTCTCTGATCTCCATGTTCCCAACCAAGAAAGTCCTTTCCTCCCGTTTGCGACGTGTGCTTGTGTCAGGTTCAAAGTCCCCTTCTTCCTCCCACAATCCTGTCTCTGGGTTCAACGACCAAAGCTTTATCTGCTGTAGGTGTTCTGGTATCCTGACCTGCGCAGAGTCCAGGTGAACCTTTACCTTCCCTGCATTAAGAGACTCGGAGGCTGTTTCGTCTGTGAAGTCCATGGAAAACATGCCATATGTGTGCAGTGGGAGCATGTCACCTTCCTCACTTATGTAGTTCAGGTCACTTTGTGCAGCTGTGGCTGTTGACATGTTTCTTGGGTCCAGAAATGTAATGCTGGCTTTCACTTTGCCTGTGTAGAGTTCACCGTTCTGCCTATAAAATGTATTGGGAGGAATTTCTAGTTCCGCTATTGGGTCATCCCCTTCCATGTCTCCTAAGGGAATCGTGTTGGTTTCAGAGGACTCTATCATAACCGGGGCTTGCTTTCTTAGTAACTTGATCTCATGAAACACGGCTCCTCCCTTTTTGTTGAAAGGCAGAACTTTAGTTGTGTTCACAAACTTTTGTAGGCGGTCGACAAAAGTAAGAACCAGCCTCTCTGTGTCTGCTGGGATTTGGATAGCGAAGTTTCCTTTGTAGCCCGTCATGCCGATTCTTTTGTTCCCTAGGTAGATGTGGCCAAATCTCATTGGTTCCCCATTATCTGTAGCTGTGGCTCTCCCCCGGACGGTTGTCTTGACCTCAGTGCACACGCCACAGTCACATTCCACAGCAACTTTAGTGGGAAGGGTATATCCACGGCACTCTATCTCTCTTGTTTCCATTTTAGAGACGCCACAGCAGTAAGCGGTGCTGTCTTTGCACTGGAATCCTATATCTGTCTTTCCAGCACATTTGTGTGCTGGACATTTACCAACATCATAGTAGAAGGAGTTAGTTGTGTTTTGGAAACAGTCGTGTGGGAGCCTGATAAAGTAGCTTTCGGGTCTTGGATTGCAGAAAGCTTCATCGGTTGCTGTTAAAATAGATGTTAGTAAACGTTACCTATTTCTGTGCAGTTCATCGCCACATCTGAGACCTTCAGAGGTTGAGTTATTTCAATAGCAATAAGGTTTCAGAATACAGAATAATTGCATGTGTTACAAGCTTCTGTTTACTCAAATGCCCATGGTTCTAGTTGAGCAAAGCATATGTTTAAAGATGTGATTAAAGTCAGTTCTATGCAGAAAAGCCCTGAGGTCAGATCTGCACAATACCCTGATGATCAGGTCAAGGTACATCAACGCCCAGCTATGTTAGATACAGTGCCAGTGTATCTTTTTTGAGATGAAGCGGCCACATCTGTACGCAGTATTCAAGATGTGGGCACACCATGGTTTTATATAGAGGCAATAGGATATTCTGTCTTTTTCCCTATCCCTTTTTAATGTTTCCTAACATTCTGTTTCCTTTTTTGACTGCTACTGCACGCTGAGTGGATATTTTCAGAGAACTATCCACAATGACTCCAAGATCTCATAGTTGTAGCTCATAGACTTTAAGGTCAGAAGGGACCATTACGATCATCTAGTCTGACCCCCTGCACAGTGCAGGCCACAGAATCTCATCCACCCCCTCCTAGAATAATCCTCTCACCTATATCTCAGATATTGAAGCCTTCAAATACTCTGAAGACCCCAAGATGCAGAGAATCCTCCAGCTGTGATCTGTACCCCATGCTACAGAGGAAGGCGAAAAACCTCCAGGGCCTCTGCCAATCTACCCTGGAGGAAAATTCCTTCCCGACCCCAAATATGGCAATCAGCTAAACCCTGAGCATGTGGGCAAGACTCACCAGCCAGACACCCAGAAAGTTCTCTACAGTAACTCCTATTTCCCACTGATAATGAATAGTCAATTAGTTACCAAGATCATGTTATCTCATCAAACCATCCCCTTCATAAACCCATCTAGCTAAATTAGTCCCCATCATATTGTACAGGGCCAGATGACCATTTTGCGGGGCCCAGGGTAGCCCAATTTCGTAGGGCCCCCCTTTGCCATGGCGCATGCGTAGTGGCGCCATGGCGCATGGCTTCTTGAAGCGCGGGGCCCGGGCTGGCTGCCTCGCTCGCCCTGCCCTATATCTGCCCCTGATATTGTATGTATAGTTGGGATTACTCTTTCCAATGTACATTACTTGACATTTTTCAACAGACACTCCACTCTTTATAGCACTGAGTGCAAAGGACAATTATTTGGGGGCAGGTCATTAAACTGGAGTTTGGTAGATGATCCAAAGTGCACAAGGCTCCTTCTTTTGTGACTCTCTGGTTGGTAATAAATATATCTTGTATTGTGCCAATAATAAATATTATTTCTGTAAAATGTGTCCTAAATTGCCTCAAAATATGCGCCCACTGGTTTTGCACGTGAGCAATTCCCAAGCTTCTTGTAACGTGCACATTTTCTTACCTATGACCGAAAGTGTAGCAGCTTGGGATTTCACAGATCCTGCATCACTGCTAGCCTTGCAGAAATACTCCCCAGCCTGGTCCATGTTCAGGTTCCGTAACACCAGCTTGCTATTATATTTATACACCGAAGAGTCCAGCAAAGTTCCATTGTGGTACCTGTAAGAGACAGAAATCATTCTGGAGCCTGGTTCAAAAGTCAAGCAACTGGACAGGACAAGAAAAGGATGGTCTAGTGCAGGGGTAGCGAATCCATTGAAGAACGAGAGCCGAAACAGCAGCGGGAAAAGTGCAACAAGCTGCACCAAAGTTGTCAAGCAAAAAAAAAAAAAAAGAAAAGCCCCCCTCCCTCACCCCAGAATTGTCAAGCAACAAGAAAAATAATGGAAAAGGAGAAACAATCTTAAACAAAAGATTGTTTAAGAAACAATCTTAGGCTTTTTGGCCATATCCTATCAGGCTCCTGTCAATGGCTGCTATCTTGGGTGCCCATTTTGAATCGCTGCCCCGGTGAGCACAGAGGTGTTCGGGGGAGGGGGAATTCAGAGGCTGTGGAGAGGGGGATGCAGGAGCGGCTTTACGAGCCGCACTTTTGGGGGAGAAGAGACGCATGCGGCTCACGAGCCACGAGTTGGCCACCCCTGGTCTAGTGCAAGAGGGGCAACACAAAGGTTGCTGGGTAGGTCTCATGAGCGGCCCTTCTTCATCTCAGTGGGCTGCAAGATTCTTGCAACCAAGACGGTCTCCCGGGATAGGGTACTTTTGCTCTCTGTGCTTGCGTTCCTAGAATTTGCATATGATTTGAAGTGTAGCCCCGCTTTTGGCTCTCAACATTGTGAGCAATCGGTACCCGCCTCACTTCATATGCCCTCTCTTTAAGTGCGTGTGACTTTTGTAATTCTGGTAGGTGGAAAAAAAAATGCAGACAAAAACCAGTGGAATCTGGCAACCCTGTGCGTGGGCAACGGTAAACAAAATGTCTCGTGGGCCACACGCACAACCCCAATAGGACCGCATGCAGCTCTGGACTGCAGCTTGCTCCCCACTAATGTAGTGGTTCGTACGCAGGATTATAAATAGAGAGATGGTTTCTATTCCTGCCTCTACCACGTATTGCTGGGTTGCGCAGTTTCCCCATCTGCAAAATTAGACTAGTATTATCTAACGAAGGTGCTTTGAGCTTTCAACTCTCGAATAATGGTCTTTGAAATCCTTAATTAGAAGGCACTGCAAGGTATTTTTATGAGTATCTGATAGATACATTATTTTAGGACACTGAGGGATACTTTGGCAACTCTCTAGGGGCTTGTAGCTCGTCTTTGTTATACTTTACACTCACTGGTTACAATAAAAAACAGGACTGTGTAGCACTTTAAAGACTAACAAGATGGTTTAATAGGTGGTGAGCTTTCGTGGGCCAGACCCACTTCCTCAGATCATCACCTATCATCACCCACGAAAGCTCATCACCTATTAAACCATCTTGTTAGTCTTTAAAGTGCTACACAGTCCTGTTTTTTGTTTCAGCTGCACCAGACTAACACGGCTACATCTCTACCACTGATTACAATAAATATATGCAACCAGCCCCTTTGTTGTCATTGATGACTGGCTTGAACTTGCTTGTTGGTTGAGTTCACCAGCACTGACACCAAAATGCCCAAGCCTTCACAGAGTCATTAGAGGGATAGATTAGGCAAATCAATTTTTCTGTGGTTTCAAAGCTTTTACCAGGCATCTGTATTCTCTCCCTTTTTTTTTCTCCCCTCTCCCTGCTAGAAAGGAATAAGGAGTCTGTCTAGTGACTCCTGTGGGCATTGGGTCCATGCTACTTGTGTATTGGTCTCTCTCAAACTGGTAAAAACTTTCAGATGGGTAAAACTATGACCATTGCACGTCAGTCTTGGGCTGGATTCACATCTGAGCTGTGCTTGGGTAAATTTGGTGGTGTGAGAGAAGTTCAGAATTCAGCTGTGGGTGTTGGGAATGTTAGGCCTTGTTTGCACTGAAAATTTCTTGCAGTTTTCCTACCATGGCCATTTGCCAGCTGGTTCAGCTTAACTGTTGCTAGAAACGGTGGAAATGCTAAAGGGACTGGTTTTTGCCACCATGTCATGAGGGCAATGTTCCCTCTCATCTTTTTCATCCATGTGTGGATTTTTCTCCATCCATGTGCAGAACAATGTTATGTGCCCTGAGCCATGTGCAAATGTGCACCACCAGGAGAAACACAAACCTAGCTGTGAGTGCTCTGCCAGTCAGCAGGGTGGCATTTGGATACCTCCTGAGTGGCCACACAAGTACACAACTTACAGGGAACACTGCACCAGGGTAAGATCTGTGGTGAGCAAAATGTTTTCATTTGGCCTCTGCTGGTGCTTCTACCATTGCCGGTGCATGTAGAACCACAATGATGCTAAACTTGGTAAAAATTATCGCAAATCCAGCTTTAGCATAACCAGCTCCCAGAGGTTGTAACTAAAACACAGCCGACTACTGTATGGCTGACAGTCCCATTTGACGGTTCTGCTGGGTTAAGTGTTCTAAAATTATATATATTTTCCAGTACAGCTGTGTACTAACTCTGACTGCAGACTTGTAGAAGGAGAAATATAGTATAAATTGTAGAGAAACAATGATTACAAAAACAATTTCCCAGGCTATAATTTGTAATTGCACACTAATAGCCTGAGGCAAGTGCTGTATGCCCTAGTCCACTCAAGAACTCATCCCACCTCCAGAGGGACCTTTCTCCTGTGTTGGCTCTGGCTGCTCTCAGGATGGGTGGAGGCAGGGATGCCTGTCACATTTCAAAAATGTATTTGGGAAGAAGATAGGGAGATAAAATGCTACAGAGAAAATTACTCTTTGATCCATCAATTTTACTATAGTAAGTCATCGGACAAGTTAAGGGCTAGATAGTGAAATTCACAATCGGCAGTCCAATGAACTGACGAATAAAGTACTGCTTAAGGAATATTATACTCAGGCCCTAAGCCAGCAATGTCCCTTGATTTAAGCTGCATTTTTGGGTGATTTTTTTTTAAACTAAATCCTGCTTCAATAGCAGTAGAATTCCAGTGGGGATTTTTGAGATTCCAGATGCAAATGGCCAGACACATTATTGACTGCAAGCCTTTCGAGGCAGGGATTGGTTCTTTTCTGCAGTTCGACTGCACCCAGCGCAGATGGGGCATTTGGGTGCTACCGTAATATAAAATCCTGTGGCACCTTAAAAACTAACATTTGTTTGGGCATAAGCTTTTATGGGTAAAAAACCACTTTGCCAGATGCATGGAGTTGAGCGCTAGACTCCATGCATCTGACAAAGTGGTTTTTACCCATGAAAGTTTAAACCCAAATAAATCTTAGTCTTTAAGGTGCCACAGGACTCCTGGCTGTTTTTGCAGATACGGACTAACACAGCTACCCCTCTGAGACTTGTCACTAAGGGTACGTCTAAACTACATGGCTCCGTTGATGGAGCCATGTAGCTTTGTTTGTTCGGCAACGGGAAATGAAGCCGCGATTTAAATAATCGCGGCTTCATTTACATTTAAATGGCTGCCCTGCTCTGCCGATCAGCTGTTTGTCGGCAGATCGGGGCAGTCTGGACGCTCCCCTGCCGACACTACATGGCTCCATTGATGGAGCCATGTAGATTAGGCTGATCGGCAAAGGGCAATGAAGCCGCGATTTAAATAATCGCGACTTCATTGAAATTTAAATGGCTGCCGCGCTGAGCCGACAAACAGCTGATCAGCTGTTTGTCGGCTCAGCGCGGCAGCCATTTAAATTTCAATGAAGTCGCGATTATTTAAATCGCGGCTTCATTGCCCTTTGCCGATCAACCTAATCTACATGTCTCCATCGATGGAGCCATGTAGTTTAGACACACCCTAATATAAGGAGTTAGTGTGATTCGGCAAAGAAACCTAAATGCAGTAGATCTCGTAAGAGCACCAACACAATGTGGCATCTTTTTCTGTCTAGCATACTCAAAGGCAAAAAATAACTCTTTGTGGGCTGCTTCTAATTGCTTACCAGCGATACTGATCCGGGGCTGGATTCCCAACAGCTTTACAGCAGAGTGCCACGGTTTGCCCTATTTTCCTCACTTTGTCCACTGGATTATTGACCATGTATGGCTTGTCTGTGGGGAGGGAGAAGAAAATCAGTGCTCTTTCCACTTTAAAACCTCAGTTAGATTGGGTGAGTGTTCAGAGCTAACTGCCAAGCAGTCAGTGGATCATAGCTGTAAATTTTCCTGCAAGGAGTCTCTTTGTCTGCAGTTACCTGCCCTTTTCAGACGCACATGGATTATTGAGGATTTCTCGGTGCTTTCCGGGACTGGGACAGTCGCCGTAGCGTATCTGACCTTTTTGATTTTAAGAATGTTTTTGCCGTCCGGGCACATGCCAGGAATCCTAAAGCCCCCATTGCTATCGGTCTCAGTCAACAGTTTCAGGTTCTCGGACTGCAGGTAGACAGTAGCTTCCGTGGCCGGCATGCCGTCTGCAAGGGCGACCCTCCCGTGCAGTACGTGGTCCTCACACATGCAGGCATTGCACTCAGCATTCACACGGCCCATGGAGCAAGTGAGGTTGCACTCTGAGAAAGAAAGGGGCAGTAGGTTAAAAGGAATCCCAGCTGGTGATGCTTTCCATAAAAGACCTTGCACCTTGCTTTAATTTAAATGCAATAAGGCAGAGATGGCACGTGAAATAAATTTATCCCAAACATATTTTTATTGATGATCCACAGCTGTCTATTTGACTGTTTTGCTGTCACTTAATGAAAGTGTATTCCCATTGGCCACTATCTTGAAACAGCTGGCTCTAGAGCAGTGGTCTCCAACCTTTTTACACCCAAGATCACTTTTTAAATGACAGACCAAGCCAAGATCTACCGCCCCGCCCCTTCCTTGAAGCCCCGCCCTCTCTATTCTCCTCCTCTCCATCACTTGCTATCCCCTAGCCTTATACTGCTACTTTAAAAAAAAAATTCCCACCATTTCTCGCAGCTACTCACCTGTGCTGTTGCTTGGTGAGTAGCTGCTCCTCAAATGAGGAAATCTAATAAATGTACTGTGCAGGCGTGCAGTTCGGAGAGGGCTCAAGAGCTACTCTTAGAGCCTCTGAGATCTACTGGTAGATCGCGATCTACTGGTTGGTGACCACGGCTCTAGAGAATACCCTGTTCCACCATCTAGCACTGAACCGGGGGGAAATCTGAATCTAGCTTTGGATGTGAACTTTCCAGCTTGGTCCCTGCTATCCAAGGGGGCAAACTAAAACCACAAATCCAGACACAGTAAACACTGGGAAAGTTCGGATGCAGATCCAAGTGCACAGCACGAGTCAGGTCCATTTATAAAATTAACGACCCAGTTAACTCTGGGGCCCTGGGTCTGCCCTGACTTGAGTACGCAATGGGAGACACTGCATGGACCTTCTCCAAGAACAGAATTAGGGGCCTCACAGATTAGCTTCAAAACAGTGAATCTTTTTGCTAAAACGAGCTATGCCTAACAGAGTGTTTCAGGGAACCGTCTCCCTTTCTAATCCCAGTGGCTCGCACCGTTTCCTCTTCCATTCATAATAGCTTAATAGCTCCGTGGCAACAGTAACATTAGGAAAGTATAGAACATAGTTTGTCTACCTTTACTGCTGCTTACCATGTGCTAATAAGGATAGCTAACAGCTCTCAACTAGCAAGCAGACCACCAGGGAGCGCTCAGTAAATTACCAGCAGTCCCTGGGCAGTACCGGATTTATGCATAAACTAAGGGTACGTCTACACTGCAACACTATTTTGAATTAACTTGCGCTATTCCGAAATAACTTAGTCTGCCTCTCCGCAGCAGGCAGTTATTTCGAAATAGTGTCAAAATACTGTCGAGCTGGAGGACTTCTTACTCCGACTCTTGTAACCCTCATTGTGCGAGGAGTAAGGGAAGTTGGAGGAAGAGTGCTCTGTTTCGAAATAAGTGCTGCGTCTAAATAAGTGTCTAAATAAGACACTCCCTATTTTGAAGATATGCAATTGATGTAGCTCAATTTGCATAGCTTTTTTCAATTTAAGCCCTACAGTGTGGATATACCCTAAGGCTGTGTCTAGACTGGCAAGTTTTTCTGCAAAATCATCTGCTTTTGCGGAAAAACTTGCCAGCTGTCTACACTGGCCGCTTGACTTTCCAGAAAAGTACTGACGATCTCATGTAAGATCGTCAGTGCTTTTCCGGAAATACTATGCTGCTCCCGTTTGGGCAAAAGTCTTTTTCCGAAAGACTTTTGTGCAAAAGGGCCAGTGTAGACAGCACAGTAGTGTTTTCCGGAAAAAAGCCCCGATCGCGAAAATGGCGATCGGGGCTTTTTTGTGGAAAATTGCGTCTAGATTGGCCATGGACGCTTTTCTGCAAAAAGTGCTTTTGTGGAAAAGTGTCCTGCCAATCTAGATGTGCTTTTCCGAAAATGCTTTTAACAGAAAAGTTTTCTGTTAAAAACATTTTCAGAAAATCATGCCAGTGTAGACGTAGCCTAAGGGTATATCTACACTTGCACCCTCTTTCGAGAGAGGGATGCAAATGAAGACATTTGAAATGGCAAATGAAGTCTGGATTTAAATATCCCGTGCTTCATTTGCATAATCGCATTATGGCACTATTTCAAAATAGCGCTATTTCGAAATAACAGATGTTATTTTGAGAGAAAACCCTTCTCTCAAAATAAAAACTTATTCCTCATACAATGAGGTTTACCAGTTATTGCAAGAGAAGGGTTTTCTCTCAAAATAATGCGCCTACACAGCATGTTATGAGGGTTACAGGAGTCAGAGTAAGAAGTCCTCCACTCAACGTTATTTCGAAATATCTGCTTATAGTGTAGATGCGGCCTGTGTTATTTTGGGATGTCAGTTATTCTGAAATAGCACTGCTGGGTAGATACAGCCTAAGCTGTAGCTCACTTAGGGTATGTCTACACTTGCACCCTCTTTTGAGAGAGGGATGCAAATGCAGCTGAGCGAAACTGCAATGGAGCACAGATTTGAATTTCCGCCGCTATTTCGAAATACCCTATTTCGAAATAACCAGTACTGTGTAGACGCGGTTATTTTGAAAGAAATCCCTTCTTTCAAAATAACCCTTACGCCTCAAAAAATGAGGTTTACTGGTTATTTCGAAAGAAGAGGTTTCTTTCAAAATAACCGCGTCTACACAGCGTTTGTTATTTCGAAATAGGGTATTTCGAAATAGCGGCGGAAATTCAAATCTGTGCTCCATTGCAGTTTCGCTCAGCTGCATTTGCATCCCTCTCTCAAAAGAGGGTGCAAGTGTAGACATACCCTAAGTGAGCTACAGCTTAGGCTGTATCTACCCAGCAGTGCTATTTCAGAATAACTGACATCCCAAAATAACACAGGCCGCATCTACACTATAAGCAGATATTTCGAAATAACGTTGAGTGGAGGACTTCTTACTCTGACTCCTGTAACCCTCATTGTACAAGGCGTAAGGGAAGTCGGAGGAAGAGTGCTCTTTCTTGAACTTCCTGCTGTGTAGACTGTGCTAAAAGCCGAAATAAGCTCTTTCGACTTAAGTGACGCAATTGACGTAGCTCGAGTTGCGCAGCTTATTTCAGTGTTAGCCCTGCTGTGCCCTTAGGGTCTCAGATTTTGAGGGGCCTCTAAATACAAAATCACATGGAGGAGGATGGAGGACACATCTGCAGAATATCTAGGGCAGGAGTGGGAAACCCTTTTTTGGCTGCTGACCCACAGAAAAGTCAGTTGGGGTCCACACACAAGTGGAAAGCTGGATTGGGGCTGAAGTGCCAGCATGGAGGATCCCTGAGCCTCAAAGACTGGACCCAGGCAAGCTGGGGGCTGCATGCAGCCCCCGAGCCTGAGGTTCCCCACCCCGATATAGGGGAATGGGGGGAGTTTTTAGTTGCATCCTTGCCTATGTACTGGGGTGTATATACAAATATCAAACTTTATTATTTCTATTTTCATTGTCCTTTGTGTTAGAATAATACACATATTTGGTAATGCTATGGGGCCTCTTAACTTGACATAGCTTAGGGCCTGTGCGTGTCTTAGTTCGGCCCTGTCTATGGGCCACAGTTTGGCTACGTCTACACTGGCATGATTTTCCGAAAATGCTTTTAACGGAAAAGTTTTCCGTTAAAAGCATTTTCAGAAAAGCACGTCTAGATTGGCAGGATGCTTTTCCGCAAAAGCACTTTTTGCGGAAAAGCGTCCGTGGCCAATCTAGATGCGCTTTTCCGCAAAAAAGCCGCGATCGCCATTTTCACCATCGGGGCTTTTTTGCAGAAAACAGCACGGTGCTGTCTACACTGGCCCTTTTGCGCAAAAGTCTTTCGGAAAAAGACTTTTGCCCGAACGGGAGCAGCATAGTATTTCCGGAAAAGCACTGATGATCTTACATGAGATCATCAGTGCTTTTCCGGAAATTCAAGCAGCCAGTGTAGACAGCTGGCAAGTTTTTCCGCAAAAGCAGATGATTTTGCGGAAAAACTTGCCAGTCTAGACACAGCCTTTGAGAACTGCTGAGCAGCAATGAAAACATAGATGCTACTTAATCCACAAAATCCATGATGGAGCCCTGAGTGTTTCCTCGCCTTCGATCCCCTAATTTTGATGCTTTAGAGTTTTAATGTCAGCTCATTCCTAGAGCCCTTTGTTAGCCTGCGCTTACCTGCCGTTTAACAGCAGGAGTATGAATTCCCTATCGGTGTACTTCAGCCCTGACCTAGCAGGACCACTGATGGGGTGAAAGGGGAAATCAGACTTTGTCACTTATTCACGCCTTGACTGGCAAGAAAGATGCTAAAATCGCACTAGTGGCTCCAGTTGGAGAGAGACCATGACACCATTTCTTGCAGGTAAAGGACACTGCAATCAATTTTATACGAGCACCTGCACATGAATGTCCAAAGCAGAGTCGTCCTTCCTCAGTCGCTTCCTTACAGTGCAGGTCCAAGCGGCTTTCTGCAAGGCAGGTTCTGATGCGGGTCTGAACCCCAGTTTTGCCACATGGTGCTGAGCATGCACTCCATGTCGACCACGGCGACCAAAACTGTTTTGAGTCTTGCAGCAGAGACCCTTGAATGACAGCATTGGGGTGTTACTACCATGCATGTTACATGCAGCGCATATTCTCTCCTGCCTGGCAAAAAGGTAGTGATTTTTTTAAAAAGCACATTGTAAGGCAAAGCACGTGGATTTAGATTTTAAAAACCCCAAAGCATATTCCAGATTCTGAGTAATAAGCTACGAGAAGACTTCCAAATGCATCTGGCTGAAATCTGTGCAGGATGCTACATTCAGATCTACTAAAGTAAAACTCAGGGGCAAGAGATGCGTAGTCCTGACTGTCTTTGTTTTAAAGGAAACCACACACATTGTCATTTAGATGGAAGGATTCAAGGATCCTAGAACACTAGAACTGGAAGGGATGTTGAGAGGTCATCAAGTCCAGTCCTCTGCCCTCCCAACAGGACCAAGCACTGTCTAGATCATCTCTGGTAGATGTTTATCCGTCCTGCTGTTAAATACCTCCAATGTTGGACTATGTAGCACTTAGCACTTGTTAGTTAAAGACTAACAAGATGGTTTATTAGGTGATGAGCTTTCGTGGGCCAGACCCACTTCCTCAGATCAAATAGTGGAAGAAAATAGTCACAACCATATATACCAAAGGATACAATTTAAAAAAATGAACACATATGAAAAGGACAAATCACATTTCAGAACAGAAGGGGGATACGGGGGGGGGGGGGGAGGAAGGTAAATGTCTGTGAGCTAATGGTATTAGAGGTGATAATTGGGGAAGCTATCTTTGTAATGGGAAAGATAGTTAGTGTCTTTGTTGAGACCGACACGTAGAGTGTCGAATTTTAGCATGAATGACAGTTCAAAGGATTCCCTTTTAAGTGCAGATTTAAAAGGCTTCTGGAGCAGGATGCAGGGAATTAAGTCGTTGAGACAGTGTCCTTTCTGGTTGAAATGGCAAGAAACTGTTTTTTCTCCAATGTTGGAGACTCCACAATCTCCCGAGGCAATTTATTCCAGTGTTTAACCCCCCTGACAGGAAGTTTTTTCCTAATGTCCAACTTAAACCTACTTTGCTGCAATTGAAGAGAGTTGCCACAAGTTGGTTCAATGACTCTGATAGAAATTAAACGTTGTCTTCTATAACCCAGGTGCATTTCCATTGTGAGAATTACATTTGTTTAACTGAAGATAGAACAGACCCCTGGAATACTACTTAGTTTTTACATAGCATTTTATGGCTCTGATTATTTGCAGTGCATGTCAGGGGTCTTGTGGTGTGTGGTTGGACTCTTAAGACCCTTCATTTTTAATAATTACTAGATGGAATTAAATGGAAGGTGTTGCTTGCAAAATATACAATGGTTACAAATGAAAGTTGCCACACAGCATAGTTATTAAAATATTATTTTAAATACCTACCAATCTGCTGTGATGGAAAAAAAAAAGTATATGCACCATTTTATATGTTGTTCTTCCAGCTGTTATAATAAGCTAGCTAAAAAGGTCAGGTAACCTGGTAGAAATGCCAACAGGTGCCTAGCAAAGCATTGAATAACAGTGTTGGAACATGACCCCCGTCTTATAAAAGCAGATGTTTCTATGGACTTTGGTAGCTGGAGAAGGAAAGCAAAGTACCACGGCCACAGAACGGTAAGGGCTGGTTAGTCAGGAAGCGCTGTGGCTTAGCTGGACATTTGAAAGCTGTCGGCATCTGGTGCCTCACACCCAGCGTTCTGGTTGGTTGATCTGACAGAGAACCGTCTCAGAAGACAGCCGCACGGGTTAAAATGCTGTCGGAGGAGGGAGTGAGAAGTAGAGCCCAGTGTTTCACACAAACAGGAAATAGCACAACGTAAAACAAAACCCGAAGAGGCAAACCACATAAAATGAAAACTCAACCCTCTGCTTGAGCTCCTGTGACCCTGGGCCTGATGAACGGAGTTGCAGCACCACTGTATTTGGCCAAACTGATGATGAGGATGGGGGAGCGATCGGGTCAAATTGGAGTGAGTGGCACTGTGACCCGGTGTGCCAGGTCACGGCGCTAGGAGCAGGGAGCCAGGCCTAGCTGTCCAGGACAGCAGCTGGCACTGCAGGTCCAAGTCAAAGAGGATTTGCTCTGCAACCATCCCCTGACGGCTTCCCCCAGAGGCAGGGCCCAACTCCACAGCAGGGGAATAGATCAATTATACCACAAAAATAAAATCAATGTCATGGGGCCAGCCAGTGTTTTATGTTTGGAGCCCACCTCAACAGCTGTGGGCTTGTGTTACTGTGTTGAACATAGCTGGGTAGGCATTGCAGCTCGGGGTCTGAAGCCTAAGGAGGACAATGGGATGGAGAGCAAGCTGCAACGTCTTACATGTACACAACTATTTTTAGTGCCCTAGCCCCACGCCATGGCTTTGATCCGGGCTCCGAGACCCACTGCCACCATCTGTGGCTGGCGTGTTGGCCCTTCCATGCCAAATATTCATTGCAACCCTCCGGAGAGCCGCTGCACTTACCTGTGGGACACAGGAAACGTACGGCATAATTCAAACAGGTTTTCCCTGCAGGCTGCTCCTTATTCAAACACCAGAATCCCTCCGGGAGGCTAGCATGGACCACTTGGCCTGTGTTCTGGGCAGGAACCCAGTCCGTGGTCCGCGCTTCCATCCGCGTGGGCCTCTCGCACACCCTGTCCCTGAAGTAGAACCTGATGGCGTCTAAACGTTCATAATCCCCGTTGCCACCCGGATGGTCCACGCTGAACCAGGAGGTCCACTCTCCAGGATCTGGGTAACAGAAAGGAGGCTGCGGTATGGACAGCCCGCTTCGGCGCAGGCTTCCCACGCTGTGTTCTGGCGCTTCTTCCCATTTCACTCTACTTTGAATGCTTTTTTTTTTCCCCTTCTTTTTCCGTGTGTCCCCAGAAAAGAGCGTGGTCTGGTGATTAGAGCAAGGGCGGGGAACCTTTTCTGGGTCAGGGGCCGCTGACCCACAGAAAAATCAGTCGCACACAAGTGAGAAACAAATACCCCCCCCCCAATAAAACAAAACCCTCACTGATGAGCCACCCTGGATTAGAGGAAGGACTAGGTTCCCCACCCTGGATTAGAGGAAGGACCCAGCACGTCAGGAATCCTGGAAGCTAATGCCAGCTGTGCCGTGTTACCTCGAGTAAGACCCTTAACCTTGGTGCCATCAACGGTGGGTATAATGGCTGCCTGAGAGGGATGTCTGAGAGTTAATCAATTTGAGTTCGCACGATGTGCTGAGATTTCCCCCCCCCCCCCCCTTCCTGGTGTGGTCCCTTCTAGAAGCTTCTGTTCCAAACAAATCTGTCAAATCTGAAATATTTTCCCTCGTCGTGAAAGAGGGGTTATTGCCAAGGGCTGTGTTAGCTCTACCCACGGGTCTGGCAACACGCGTGAGTTTCCCCGTCAGGGTAAGGGGGAAAGAAGCAGCCAGCACCAGCCCTTTCTGTGACACGCAGGAGGCGTGTCACCGGTTCTGTGCTTTGAACGCGTCACACGTGGACGGCTCGTTCCCACCCCGACCATAGCTCCTTGTGGCAATGAAGGGAAAATGCAATGGGAAGGCCTGGGGAGCTGCTGTGAGCGTGTGGCAATCCCGCTGCCTTAACATCGTTGTTGCTCATCGCTTTCAGTGCCCGCTGCGATATAAATCCCAGTTAACTGTGTGTGGCATGAGGGAATGTCACTTGAGGCCATGGGGTATTTCCTGATGATTCAGAAACAGCGGGGAGGAACTGATGGGCAAAGATGGCCGTTTATCAGCAAGAAACATCGTAGGCACCATTGTGGAAGGATCAGGGTTGGGTGCAGGGTGACACAGGCATGTGCTGGGAGTTTAGAGGGTTCAGGCCTGATGGGCTAACCAGTTAAATGACTTGGCCCATCTGCCAGCATTCTGCTTGGGAGGGAAGCAGGGATGGAGGCAAGTTTTTGGCGGGGAACCCTCATTTACTAGAGGGATGCAAATGAAGACATTCGAAATTGCAAATGAAGCCAAGATTTACATATCCCGTGCTTCATTTGCATTACCACGTTATGGCGCTATTTCGAAATAAAACACTCTGTATAGACGCATTATTTTGAGAGAAAACCCTTCTCTCGAAATAACTGATAAACCTCATTGTATGAAGAATAAGGGTTATTTCGGGAGAAGGATTTTCTCTCGAAATAATGTGTCTACACAGCATATTTTATTTCAAAATAGCGCCATAACGTGAATATGCAAATGAAGCGTGGGATATTTAAATCCCGGCTTCATTTGCAATTTCGAATGTCTTCATTTGCATCCCTATTTTGAAATAGGGTGCAAGTGTAGACATACCCTCTCTAAAGAACTCGCCTCTGACTCATGGGCACGTTGGATGGGATTTATCTGCCACCTTTTAGCGCCCAGAGAGGTTCATGTCAGGGTAGAGTGTAGGGAGCTGGGGTAAATGAGGGAAGTTCCACTCACTTCTGTGGAGTGACACTGAATTAAAGTGACCGGAGTTGGCTGTGGCCACAAAAGCTCATGATACCATCTACATCAGTGGTCCCCAACATGGTGCCCGCGGGAGCCATGGTGAGCGCCGGCCCCAGGAGCGCCACGGATTGGCTGCCCGCGCTCTGGGCGTGCGGCACTTGGGGGAGGGGGGCG